GCCGGACGCTGCGGCTGGTGAGCCTCGTCGTCCGAGTCGGACCAGTCGGTGTCGTCATCTTCATCGCTGCTCGAACTGGCGGCTGTGTTGTCATCGTCGCTCCCCGTATCGGGCCGGGGCCGAATCTCCCCAATGCGGCTGTTGGAGATGTAGTAGGCCCCAACGGGGCGATCCTCGGGTGCGGGCTGCTCGGGGGGATCGAAGGAAAGATAGCCCACGCTCTCCACCACCGCTTCTCCATCCTCCATCGTCTTCATATCTTCGTAGAGCATGACATCTTCCCGGCGTACTGCCATACCACCCTACACCACGCACTGAACCGGCCTTGCCTTCAAGGAAGGATAGGAGGCGCGTACAGGCAGGCCACTTGGTCCCACCCAGGCAGTGCGAACTTGAGTTTGTTGTAGTTCTTCTTTTTGTGAGCGACCTTGGTCTTTTCTTTCCAGAGCGTCGGGGGGGGGTAGTGCGGGAAGGGATATTCTAACTAAATACCAAATTAGTAAATTAGTACAGAAAACGACACACAGCGTGAACGGCTTGATGGTCGGAGGCCTCTGGAGGATTGAATGAAATTCGGCCCGGAGGCCTCTGGAGTTAACTTGGAAGAAATTTCCCTGATTACGGACTGGCAAATCTTGGTTCTGGCCCTCAAAAAATATTTTTGGCCCTCAAATCATTATTTGGATTTATTTGGCATTTTTCCTGCTGACGTGGCAACTGCGCTGCCCTAGAACCGTGGCGTTCACGCTGTGACAGTTGGCCACCAAGCGCTTTCCGTTCTTGTTTTCCCTCTCTTTTTGACTGACGCTTTTCGCTCTTTTTTATTTGTTTTTTTCGCCGCGGGCACATTGTTGTCATCGCCGTCGTCGTTGTTGGTTTTGGTTGTCATCAGCGACTTGAGCGCGGCCAGGAACGCCTTCGCCAGCGAGGACTTGCACATTAAGTTGTTGCCTCAGGAGTGGCCAGCATCCATGCTAGCAAACATGTCATGTGGGACATTGTTGTCTGGTCCTCACAATGGGGCATGAGACACATGACACACACCACACACCACGACGATGACAGAGACACACCTGTTGCCCGATCCATCAGCGATGGAGAGGCACTACCCGGCCCTCAAAGTCCCATGCACCCAACGGGTTCGGCATCCATGGTGCCGACCAACGCTCGGTCAGTGTCCATGGACATTGTGGTGCGTGCGTGTGTGTGGCGTGGTATGTGCGGTGTGTGCGGTGTGTGTTGCGTGTTGCGTCGTGTGCGGGGCCTCCTCAACGACGACTACCCACCAAGATGCGAAACCGGCATAACTCGACCGCGCTTGCTGCCTCGCCACCGAGCGGGAGATGCTTCATCTGCCTGCTTCTCCATGCCGACATGGAGGAGCTCGACTTCTCGCACCCCAACTGCCGTGAGCTCGTCAACGACGCCTTCCTGCGCCACTGTTCTTCCCGCACGCGCCCATCATCAAAGGTGCCTCACCGCACACGCGCGCTCGTGATCGGTCTTCGTTCTTTGTTCTTGCTAACCAGGCCACTGTCTGTGTGTGTCGCGTGTGTCGCGTGTGTCGTGTGTGTCGTGTGTGTCGTCTTTTGTGTGTGTCGTGTGCTCTGTGCCGTGCCGACACACCACAGAGGTGGACAGCTGGGACTAGATCACGTCGGCCGTTCTCTACCGATCGCCCCAGGGTTGCTCATCTCTTGCGCCTTTCTCTCGCCACCTGCTGGAACATCTCTTCGCAGCTCATCAAAGGTGCTCTTCTCTTCTCTTCTCTTCTCTCTTTCCGTGTGCGGCGAGTGTGGCTTGTGTGGTGCCACAAATTGGCGGTTGTGTGTGTGTGTGTGTGCCAAGTGCGTGCGTGTGTATATTGTTCACGTTATACGGATGTGCGCTTACACGTCGGTGGGGGTGGGGTGTAGCCTCAGGGTGGTGGGGTGGTGGTGGTGACCTCAGAGGTGGTTCAGCACAAAGGATACGAGGGCGATCTCCAGGTGCTTGCTCGCATGAGGCGTACGCACGCCATGCCTCTCGCTGGGGAACACCTGCAGCTGGTAGGGCTTGCCCGCTTTGCTGAGCTCGTCTATCAGCTTGGCCGTGTGGCTGTGCACCAACGAATGGGCAACGCGCGTTAGCGAAAGTTCGGTTGCTGCGCAGCATTGCGCGAACCACCAATTAATGGCGTGCGTACCAGAAGTGCACATTTTCGTCGATGAGGCCATGGATAATCAGCAGCCGGTTGTCCCTGCAGCCAAGCAAGATGGATTGCGCGTCAGCACACAACGCGGGAATCGAGGAAGACAGAACGATTCAGATGGGCCTAGCTAGAAGGTAGCGAGGGAGGGGAGGGGTACTCGTCAGGGAATCCCGAGACCATGTTGAGCACCGATCCCTTGGAGTAGCCTTCGGGGTTATGTTGCGGCGTATCCATGTAGCGCTCGGTGTATCCTGCCCAGCCACCGCCACACGCAGGGTCATCAAGAGCACAAAACAGAAGGAACGAAATGCAAGGGGGATGGGGTACGGAAGGAATTTTATAATATAAAACGTACCCGTGTCGTAGGCTTCCCACAGAGTTACAGGCCCGCCAGCAATTGCAACCTGATGAGGGCAAGTTTTGTGCCAATTGAGGCCGTGTGCAGAGGTGGAACCAACGCGCCCGCCCGCTGGGCAAGAGTACAGAGTACGTACCTTGAAAAAGTCGGGGCGTTGAGCAAGGAAGCATAGGCTGAGGTATCCACCATAAGACCAGCCCGTAACTCCAATGCGAGCGGGATCGATGAACTGCTCCGTTTTCATGAGGTGCTGCAGACCCAACACCTGCTCGACACGGCGACGACGACGAAGAAGAGGATTAGAGAGTAAAGGTCATACAGGTCACAGGGCGGGATGTGCGTGCCTGATCGTGAATTTCCACCGTGCCCATGCTGTTACGCAGGCGGCCTTCCCACGCTAGACCTCGCTTCCACGAGCCAGCACCGTCGATTATCACGCACGCCACTCCTTCAGACGCCAACAGCTGATTTGAATGGCGCAATCAGTGATATGTGTACTATCGGCCGTCATGGTACACGTAAACAGCTGCAGCTCTACCTGATAGCGCTTGAACTGAACGGTGAGCGTGTAGCTGTTCACGACCAACTGGACGTGGGGTCCGCCATAGACGTAGAGGAGCGTGGGGCACTTTTGGCCCTCGTGCTGCCCGCGAGGACGCCAGTACACACCGTACGCCTGCTCGCCTGTGAGGCGGTTAGCGTGTGCGAGGTGAAGCAAGGCAAGGACATTTAAATATATAAATAGAGAGAGAGAGAGAGAGAGCATAGTACCGAAGTGGTTGGTAAAGGAGAACAGCTCCGGAGGAGGAGCGGGGAAGATGGGGGCCTTGGTTGACTTGGGCACAGACAGGGACAGCAGCAGCTCCACCGAGGGTCCTCCCGACAGGTCTGGCGTCATTGCGATCGAGAGAGCTTTACGGTGAGTTTTCCCTCGGAGTAGGCAGTGCAATAGAATACTACGGCGGCGTACCGGCAGAAGCGGCATCATTCCAGGCGATGCGGTGAACCTTGGCTTCGTGCGGCGTCGAAAGGTTGGAGAAGGTGCTGACAAACTTGTCGCACGCTGGGCTGACGGCAACAGCCCCGTGATGGAAGCCTCCCGTGGTGAGCCTGTGAGGAAATGGAGAGGGGGATTTGTTGAATCGGACCTCCCATCAATCCGCCGCACATTGCAGGCAAGCTACCTGTGGATGTGCTCAGCCTTGGCTTGCTCGGCATACGAGGCAACGTACAGGTGCGTCTCCAAGGAGCTGTTCTTATTGGCCTGTGTCAAAGTAAGTAAGAGCCAATCGAAGGATAAGAAGTGAGATGCAAGTCTTCATTGGAGGGGGAGCAGTGACGTACGGTAAAATACACCAGGTGACGCTTTTCATCAACCTACCGACATGCACCTTCTGGTCAGCTCTGCCACAGGAGTGCAGGATTGGGTGTCGGGGAGGGGTGCCGTACAACAAGTTGCTGATCCTCCACCTGGAATTTCCCTGCGGTAATGGCTCGCGGCTGGAAAACCACGCGTCAGCTAGACGTGTGAATGGTCGCGAGAACAAAAGAGAGAGGTTACCTGCTGGCCTGGGCTGACCAAGTACAGCTGCCGATAGCCAGTGTGAACTTCGCTAGCCCAAATGAACCGGCCTGAGCCGTCTTCCAAGAAGTAGAGCACGTTCGTTACGTTGATCCAGATATCGCTGTTGTCTTCCAGAAGCACCGAGACTTCGCTTGCCACACTCCCAGCTGAAAGAAAGGCGGGTGTCAGCACCACAAGTGCACAAAGGACCCTCATAGGAAAGTAAACGAACCATCAGTATCGGCGGCGAACTGAGACAGTTCAAGTGAAATGAGCTGCAACTTTTGTTGCTTACGATCCAGCAGCTGCAACCAGGGCCTGGAGCCGTCGCGGTATTTCTACTCATCAGTGCCTTCAACTCAACATTGCCAAGATAGTATTCTTACCTTGGAGACGGTACGGGAGCCGTCCAGCCGCAGCGGACGATATATTCGACCCAGGGGAATCGCTCCTGTATGCTCGGTTGCAAGTACTTGACCACGGGCGAGCTGTCCCACTGCAAGCAGTTACCATGTATGTCGCGCGACGCGAGTCTTACAGTCAGAGAAGGGACAAGAGAGCGCGTTCGGGCACGTACGCTGGAGGTGTCGAATTCGACCAGACAGACGCGAGAGATGGCATTCTTGGCGCCTAATGGGAACGGCTTCAGCGTCCACTCAGACGGAAGAGTGGGATGTCCAAGGTCGTACGTACCGGCCAGGGGGTAGCGGAAGGAGTCAGTCTTGCCGTGGATATCGCTCGCATCGGGGATGTGGAACACCTCCACATCAGACTCGTCCACCTATCAACGCCGCACACGGCGGGGCAAGTGAGCGGTCCTGCAAGACTCCAGAAACACGACGAACAGGCACACGAAAAACTGAAACTCACCTGCAGGTACAAGATGCGGCACAGCGAGGGGTTGCTGCTGTCCGCACTCGGCTGCCACCAGTAGCCCGTGTAGCGATCGAACTCCTCCTGCATAACGAACTCAGCGACCCCCGAAGAAGCGGTGTCGTCGCTCGAGGCTGCGATGGCCACATATCAGCGGCCTGTGAAGTCAACTGATCTCTCTCTCTATCTATCTCTAGACCGTCGGTAGGAAATTAGGCGTACTCGTGCGAGAATAGGTGAGGCGCTTTTCCTTGTGAGTGCCTCGGTTGACAAGCCACATGTCGCCATCCCTGTTGTGGAATGAATAATTACGGGTTTGCCGAGTAGCATCATGCACGTGCTTCTTGAGAAACGGTGTGTCGTGTGTGTCGTGTGTGTCGTGGTGTCGTGTGTGTGTGTGTGTGTGTGTGTGTGTATTGAGAGAGAGAGAGAGAGAGAAAGAGAGTTACCTGACAAAAGACACGATGTTGGGATCATAGGGGCAAAACTTGGCGTCCATGCGAGCGCCACTCACCTCACTCCGGATCTCGGCGAGCTCGCACTTGTTTTCCTCCTGCGCAGTGTCGTAGTGTAGGGGACATGTTGAGCGCACCAGCTCTGAAGAGAATCGGGATGGATGGGATGTGGCGCACAGGCGTATGCTGGGATACATCAACCGTGTACAGCTTGCCCGCGGCAGGAATCAGCAACTGGCAACTCCTGCTCCCACAGCGGCCGGGCGGCGGATGCAACAAAGAGGTCAATCATTGGAACGACATCACGAGCACCAACCGAGCAAACGCCGGCCGCAAAGAACGAAACCAGAAGAAGACTCAACGTACTCCTTGTGCAGGTCGAACGACGTGATGCCCGAGTCAAAAGAACGCATGCGCTCACGCAGCAGCTGCACCAAAGTGAATGAAATAGTAGAGGGCATCAGCACCAGAGTGGCTTGTGTGTTAGTGAAGGAGGGGGGGGGCACCTCTTCTTCTTTGGACAATTTCTCCTGCCCCGACGAGGTGGCGGGTGCCTGCAGGAGAGGCTGCCACTGGCCTTCTTCTTTGTGCAAACCCTCGACGGGCACGGCAGAAGATGGGGAGGGGAGGGTGGTGAAGTAGAGCGACGACGACTTGTCCCCCTCGCGACGGCCGATGAAGTAGAGCAGGGGCTGGTGCGGATGGAAAGCATACGAGGAGGGCAGACCAGGCAGACTGCGTGTGTCCAGAGCGCTCTCCACGAGCTCCCTCGTCCTCTGCCTGGCCGTAGCCCTGGTGCCTTGAGCAGATGTCATCGATCCCTCCATCCGTAGTTTTTCTGTGTGGCGGTGTCGTGCCGGGAAAAAAGGCGGCTCCACGAAATAGAGGCCACTACACAACGCCAGCCGTTGGAGCAACAACAACAAGAAGGAAGGAAGGAAGGAGAGAAGAGAAGAGAAGGAAGAGATGGAGAACCCGCGAGGTTCGGTAAGCGAGCCACCAGAGGGCTGGGCTTGGGGGGCGAGTGAGGGCGGAACCCAACACTACGACGTGGACACCCGCCTCGCGGGCGACGACGTCAAGGAAGACATTCGCCTCCACCCCGCCGCTGCGCTCCTCTACTCCTTCCCCGAGGGCGACGTGCGCGTGGGCCACAAGAAGCGCAAAACCCACACCCTCGGACCCTCCCTCCCCGTACCCCGCCCCCCTCAAGCCTTCCTTCCTTCCTTGAATCATATCGCTGCTGCCCATTCAGGCGATTTGCGCTGATTTTTTATTTATTGTTGTTATTTAGTGTTGTTAATTGATTCAATTTTAAAATGAGCTCAATTGGGGTGAGAAATCTTGGAGCTGATCTTTGCTCCTCTCTCTCTCTCTCTCATTTCCTTTGGGCCATGAAGGCGGAGGCGCTTGGTCTGTTGAAGTCGGACTCCTACCTGCGGGACTGCATAGGCCTTTTCACTCAGGACTGGACCACCGTGAAGCGTCGGTACCGCGAGCGCAACAGGCGCGACGAGCGCGTGCGAAGCCGTCGCCTTCTCTCGCCTGAGGCCGAGGCCGGCCTTCCACCGCAGACCTTCGAGTCGTTCGACTCACCCTCCTCCCGCATACCCTCTGGTACGTCACAGCTTTATCCCACCCTTTTATCCTCATTTCCCTCTCACCTCTTGTGTTGCGCGTGTGCGTGTGCGGTGGTGCGTGTCGGCAGGCCCTGCAGCCAACACGGAGGAGCTAGACGTGGGCAAGAAGGGGAAGAAGAAGAAAGGGAAAAAAGAGAAGAAGAAGAAGGGAAATCGGAGCTGCGGCGCGGCTGAGGAGGCCACCGAGAGCAGCGAGGAGGTCGCGCTGCGCCAGTACTTCGCCAAGACCGCTGATCTGTCGCTCCACGTACGGCCCTCTCCTCGCCCTACTCTCCGGAGACGCTTTGTTGCGTCGATCCGGTTGGCTCCTTAACCTCCTCATCCGCCCTCTCTGTGATGGACGCGGCAGTCCCAGAAGGTGGACTTGTTCGCCCTGTTCAACAAAACCGAGGAATCCTCCTCTTCGCCCACACCAGAAAAGCCCCGCAACTACTTTGCTCGCGATACCTACACGTACGTGTGCGCCCCTCTTGCCCCCATTTCTCTCTCTCTCTCTCTCTTCTGCCTCGCCCCGCCACTTGTGGCGTGGAGTATACTCCGGCTCAATCTCACCGCGCCATCGCCGCGTGGCTGCTGCAGGGGCGTACAACTGCTGGTCACGCCACGCAAGATCAGTTTCGCCCTGGGCAATTTTGAGCCCTTCTACGGAGTGCTCGCCCTCTACGACATGGCCAAGAAGGTCAAGATCTCGGAGAACTTCTACTTTGATGTGAACGACGACGACGTATCACCTCCTTCTCCTCCCTCCTGAGATCACTGCCAGACAGCCGTTCATGGCTGACGCATTTGGTCCTTTTGGGGGTCAGGTGTCCAAGCTGACGCTCAGTGGGAGCAGCCAAGCCGAGCGGGCGAGCAAGAAGGCGCTCTTCCGTGTGGCCAAGCCCAGCGCCGACGTCTACCTCGTCCTCCGCATCGAAAAGGTCCTCCAGGGTGATCCCGAGGACTCCCTCGACCTCTACGGCAAATGCGACTCGGTACCTTTTATGTAGTCCTCAATGCCTCAGTGCCTCCCCACCCCTGCCCAGCGCGTTTGTCTTCGCGCGCCACACGAAACAATACGACACACAAACCGCGCCCATCGTGACGCGTACTCGCTGAACTGTTTCCCCATCCACGGTACAGATCAAGGAGAAGGACAGGGAGCGCCTGGAAGCACATACCAAGGAATGCTGCAAGCGCTTTGGCGAATACCGTCAGGTGACCACCTACTCCCACTCCTCTCTCTCTCTCTCTCTCTTTGCAGAGCTCAGTTCTCTTTGCCCGAACTGACATGGCGCGCGCGCGGATGGGCCACACAGGGCATGGGGTGGTCGGTGCTGCCGCTGTTCGGTCAAGACGGCCAGCTGGCGGTGCCCGAGACGGCCACCTTTCAGCCCGTGTACCGATACCGCCCCGAGGCCAGCGACGCACAATTTTTCGCATCCTGGGGCGACCAATCCAAGGCGGGCTCCAAGCGGCTCAAGACGCTGCCGGGCAACTGCGTGGTGGAGATCACCGAGGTGGCCGAGGGAGCCAAGCCCCCCGGACGCCTCACGCCCTCCCTCATCCCGCTCAAGCCCGCCTGCCCCGCAGACGACAAGCAGACCGTCCTGGTACGTGTCCCCCCCCAATAGATCTATCTATCTATCTCCTTGCGGTCCGAGTGGTGACTCACACCAACGCATGCGTTGTTGGCTTGATATCTGCGTGTAATGTGTGTGTGTGTGTGTGTGTGTGTGTGTGTGTGTGTGTGTGTGTGTTGTGTGTGTGTGTGTGTGTGTGGTTTCTCTACGGCAGGAGATCGAGGAGTTCGGTGGCCTGCGCGGGGATGGAGTTGCCACGGACTATGTAAATAACCTCTATATATACCCCGAACTCGTGAACGGCGCCGCCTCCGGCCGCAACCTCGCCATCCGTGTACAGCTCCTTAACTCCGACCGCGACCCGGATGCTCCCTCGGTACCGACTCGCTTCCGTCCAGATGTCCCCGCCCTGACGCTCCTCGCGTCCATCTTCCCCTCCTTCCCCTCCCCCCCTCTCTAATTTCGCACGTGTGTACATATATGCAGCCCCTGCCGTGCATCTGCACTCGCTCGGGCGAGCTGGCGTCGGATGCGGTCACCCTGGTGTCCTACCACGCCAAGAACCCGTCCTACTACGACGAGTTCAAGATCTGCCTCCCGCCCACCATCACGCCCGCCCACCACCTCCTCTTCACCCTCTACCACATCCCCGTCCAGATCGCCAAGAACAAGGACGTCGCCCCCGAGGTACTACCCACCAACCAACCAACCAACCAACACACCATTGCTGCCGCCGCTGCTGCTACCCACCTCGTCGCGTGTGCGATCTCAATCCTCGTACGAAACGTGGGTGCAGCGTAAGGTCATCGGGTACGCGTGGCTGCCGCTGTTCGTCGACGGCCGCATGGCCGGGGAAGACCACCAGGTGCCGCTGGCCGCCAACATCGCCCCCGCCTACCTGTCCCCCGAAGGCAGCTCGCACGTACTACGCCACCTCTCCTTTCTTTGCCCGTAGGGGTGGATCGATCACTCACCTGAACCCCCCCCTCCGGTGGTGGTGGCTGGTGGCCGATCAGATCCGGTGGCTGGACGGAGGCAAGGCGTCGCTGCGATTGAAGCTCCAGCTGGTGTCCTCCCTCTACACTCAGGACCACGCCCTCGGCGAGTTTTTTGCCTACAGCGTGCCCCCCGCGTCCCCCGACGGTAAGCCCCCGCTTTTCTTGAAAACATGCATCGCGTCTTCGGTGCCGCTCCTTTACTACCGGTGGCGCGCGTGCTGACATCTTCCCTCCTCTTCCTCCTGCTCCTGCCCTGCTCCTGCTCTGCTCCTGCTCTGCTACTGCTGCTACCGTGGCATCAGCGCTGGTGCACACCCTCAATGCGCTCACGGCCGTACCGCCCCGCAAGCTGGCGTGGTTCCTGCCGCTGATGCTCAACCTCCTCTTCCGCCTGGCGTGCGTCGGAACGCTCACCACGCAGCGACACGCCTTCGCCACCATCTTGACGATCCTCAACATGTACGTACGAGTACGCGTTGCATACGCCGTAGCCGCTTGCTCACGCGCACACGCACGCATGCTGAACGCGTATGGTGGATGGATGGCGCGCGGTCGGTCGGTCGGGCGTGCGTGAGCAGCATCAGCACGGAAATGGACATCGGGGCGGTGCTGGACAGCTACGCCAGCTACGTGGTGTGTCCCGCCGAGATCGAACGCAACAGCAAGGTCTACCTCCACCACCAGGTACCCCCCTCCCCTTTTTTCGTCGTACAGCCGGCTTCCTTCGAGTCTCTTTTTCCCACGACGTCGTGCCTCGCTTTGATGGTTGGTTCGTGCGTTCCTCCTTGTTTGCCTCGCGCTTGGCACGCGCAGATCGCGAAGCACTGGGCCTTCTTCTTTGCGAGGGCCAGCAACGCCGATGCGCCCAAGGAGGAGCTCTACAAGTTCGCCGGCTTCCTCTTCAAACTCATCTACCGGTACGGCACAGCGCGATCTTGGGGCGGAAGCTCTTGTGTGTGTGTCGTGTGTCGTGTGTGGTGTGTGGTGTGTGTGTCGTGTGTCGTGTGTGTCAGAGAGAGGAGGAGGGAGAGGTTTTTAATCTGTTGTCTGACGACGTGCGTGCCCTACAATGTATGCATGCATGCATGCAGATCCATGGTGCTCAAGCTGCACAGCACGGGCGAGCTCAAGGACGAGGAGAGCACCAGCCGCAGAGGCCGGTTCGACCCGCAGTTCGAGGCGGAGCTGCGGAGCCTGATCACCGGCCACACGCGCGTGCTGCAGGCCGGGCTGCGCGTGGGCCTCACCAACGCCAAGCTGCTAAGCCAGGTGCTGGCCCTGGCCCTCCACGACCTCATGTCGGTGATGGACCGCGGGGTGGTCCTCCACCTGGCCGACCTCATCGCCGCCAACATGGTGCCCCCCTCCGGCGAGTCGGTCTTCCACGGCCTCCGCCTCACTTTCCTTGACATCCTCGCCGAGGTGCTGCCCACACCCCCCACCCCCACCCACTACCCCCCACCCAACATACACAGTCTTGCGTGCGTGCGTGCGTGCGTGTGCGCGTGCGTGCGTGCGTGCGTGCGTGCGTGCGTGCGTGCGTGCGTGCGTGCGTGCGTGCGTGTGCTGGTCGGAGGAGGGCGCTCACACGCGGGTGTGGTGGTGGGTCTGTGTAATAGTACGAGCACTTGTTGCCGCTGTCCCTGCCGCTGCCTCCCGAGGTGCGGTCCATCGTGAGCCTCCCGACCGACTGGCGGGAGCAGCACCTCCCCATGGCCCTCCTCCTCGACTACTCGTCCCAGTACCTCCTCCACGACGAGATCCAGGTGCGCCGCCGCCGCCGCAACCCCCTACGCACCACACGCACACTGATCACGAGCACTGCTGAGCCGAGACACACCGGGTGGACGGAGAGGGCTGACCAGTGCTGCCGTTGTTGGTTGGTTGGTTGTTGTTGGCGCAAACGGGGCGTGTGGTGCTGTGCGCGCGGTGGGCAGATCCGGTCGCGGGCAACGCGGCTGCTGCACGGGATCGTGCTGCGGCAGCTGGCCGACGAGCGGTACGCGTGCCCCGAGTACGTGCCCCGCCTCGCCGGCCTCTTCCTCCCGTTCCTCCCGTTCCTCCTGCCGCACGCCAAGGTACGCGCGCGTTCCCCCCCCATTAATCTCTCTATATATAGATATATGTAAATATGAGTACACGCCATTTTTCCTATCGGCCATGGAGCAGCACCGGTGGTGGCGCGCGTGCTGACGCTCGTCGGCGCATCGGGGGGGGGGCAGGCATTGCGGGAGCGCTACCTGCACGAGCGGCGGGAGATCCTGCTGGTGTGGCTGTGGCTGCTCGACTCCATTCCGCACGTCCACCTCCGTTCCTGGTGGCAGAAGGAAACCCGCTCCCGCCTCCTCTTCTTCTTTGACGCTCTGCTCCTCGCCCTCGACACCTTCAACGCACGTCTACCCCCCCCCTCTCACCTCTTACCCCGCTCTCCTCGCATTCTCTCTCCTTCCATATGGGCGCCTTCTATAACCTTGGCAACCATGGTATTCCTGGCGGGCGGGTGTGTGGCGTGTGTTGTGTGTGCGTCGTGTGCGCGTGCGTGTGTGCGTGTGCGTGTGCGTGTGTTGTGTCGCTACAACAGTACGTGGGCAAGGAGACCATCGAGGAGAAGATCGCCGAAGGGAAGATCGCGGCCGCCTCCACCAACGCCACAAAAGCGCTCGTACCTTCCCCTTTCCCCGCCACAATCCAGTTTGTGGGGCGGGGGCTTTGGGTGACGCTGGATGGCTGACGCACGCGCGTGTGGTGTGTTCGGTGGCATCAGCTGGAGAGCTTCTACACGGAGGTGGGGTCGACGTCGCGGGTGGGCGCGGCGGGCAGGCGCACTTACACGTCCCTGCGCGAGAAGCGGGTGGCGGCGCGTGCGCAGGGGCAGGCGGCCAAGGAGGGCGACCAGCGGCACTTCCGCGCCACCCTCGAGAAGCGCCACACCACGCAGGTCTCCTCGGAGCCCAAATACCTCTTCTCGCCCCTCATCGTACGATCTCACCCTCCTCCCCTCCTCCTCCCCAATAGTGTATTTATTCTTCATCTCTCCAGTTATCCTCGCCAGTTCCTCCCCTCTGCTCGCACACGCGCCCCATTTCCGTCCGTTGACACTTTTCCAAACGCCGCGCACCTCCCCCGCCTCCCGCCCGCCCGCCCGCAGGAGAAGAACCTGAGCGTGCAGGTGCAGCGGGTGGTGGTGGCCACCATCGGCGAGTTCATGAGCTGCTTCAAGACCGAGCTCTTCGGACCCGCCGGATCCGGCCTCATGGCCAAGCTCTTCGAAGTACGCTCACCCCCCACCCACCCCCATCCAAACGCCCAAACGCCCGCTTCCCCTCGTCAGTGCCCTGACCAACATTTGTGTCGCGGTGTGTGAACGCCGCGTCGTCGTCCGGCGCAGGTGCTCAAGTGCCTGCTGCAGCGCAACCAGGCAGTGGACCAGGTCGGCTGTGTCTACGGTACCGAGCCCTCCCTCCCGACGTTGGGTGGTGGTGGTGGTGGTGGTGGTGGTGGTGGTGGTGGTGGTGGTGGTGGTGGTGGTGGTGGTGGTGGTGGTGTGTTGTGACGGGTGTGTGTGTGTGTGGTGTACGGCGTTGGTCGGTCGGCAGGCTTGCTGCAGGTGTGGGCGGTGAACCACGCCAAGGACCTGTTCTACCGCAACACCAACTACGTGGCCGAGATCTGCCCGCTGCTCATCATGCATTGTCACTCCCCGCACACGCCCTCCGCCGCCACGCCGCCGCCTTCCTCGCCCTCCTCATGAAGCAGAACTACGACGAGGTCCGCAAGAACTTCACCCGCGTCAAGGTACCCACCACCCCGCTTGTCTGGGCTAGCTTACTTTCTCTCTCTCTCTCTCTCTCTCTTTCTTTCTTTCTTTGCTCACACGCGTGCCGTGTCATGTCGTGTCGTGTCGTGCATTCTCACTGGCACGCGTGCACACACAGGTGCAAGTGACGATCGCGCTGTCGGCGTTGGTGGGGCGAGGCATCCGGGACGATCAGTACCTGATGGACGCGCTGCAGTTCATGACCAAGGCCGCCCGCCACCTCGAGGCGCAGGACCACGCCGAGGTGCCGCGCCCCTTCGCCGCGCAGGTGGAGGACCTGGCGGGCCGGCTGCACACCATCCTGCGGGACTCGGTCAAGATCAACCAGCACGCCAACGACCCTGAGATGATGGCCGACCTCTACTTCCGCATCTCCAAGTCCTACGCCAACACCCCCGACCTACGCATCACCTGGCTCATCAACCTCGCCAACTTCCACGCCCTCCGCGTACACCCGCCCCCCCCCCCAGACGCCGCACACGCACACGCACACAACACACGTAATCGTTGCCATTCGTTTCCTGTTGTTTGCAACATGTTTGGTGGTTCGTGGCACGACTGACGTTGCATCTCCCTCCCCCATCACCATTTGTGGAGCAGTTGAACTGGGCCGAGGCGGGTCAGTGCGCGCTGCACATGGGCGCCCTCATCTCCGAGTACCTCGCCCTCAAGCGAGGCGCACCCGACGCGACGCAGGTGGCCCTCCCCAAGAACTGCCACGCCTTCCTCGGTACTACGCGCCCTCCGCTCTGCGCCCTCCGCTCCTCCTCGCACTCTTCCCACACAACACGACACACACGATACACACGACACACGACAAAACAACACACAACACAGGGGAGTAGCTAACCAGGCGTGGTGTGGTGTGTTGATGTGGTGGCAGGGATCTCGCCCAATGTGGTCGAGGAAGCTCTCACGGAGATCTCCATGGTGGGGGGCGGAGAGGAGGGGATGTGCGAGTCGCAGCTCTTCAGCGACCGGGGCCTCGTCAGCGTGCTCCTCGACGCCGTCGACTACTTCAAGAAGGGCGCCCTCTACGAAATCGCCGTCGAGGCACGCACGCTACCCCCTGTGCACCCACCGCACGCACGCTCGCTCACCGGTCGTTGTTGTTAGCGCAGGTGTACAAGATCATCCTGCCCGCCCACGAGGCTGCGCGCGACTACCGCGCCCTTTCGCGCGCCCACGCCGATCTCCAGGCCATCTACCAGGACATCGCCAGCGCCGTACCACCCGCCCCGCACCCACCCCCACCCCCCTCCCGGCAATGGCATTGTTCTGGTGTGCCTCGCTCTTCGAGTTTTTGACTGATGAGCCTACTTTGCAATGTGTGTGCCGCAGAACGAGCTGCAGAGCCGCATGCTGGGGAGCTTCTACCGCGTCGGATTCTTCGGCGCGGGCTTCGACGAGCTCGACGGACAGGAGTTCATCTACAAGGAACCCAAAATCACCCGCCTCGGTGAGATCACCGAGAGACTTCTCGTATGGCACCGGCGCGCACACACCACACACACACACACACACACACACACAACGCAACACACGACACACCACCACACACACACCACATACCCCACACACACACACCACACAGTCGCCATCCACCAATTACTAATTGGGCGATGATGGCGCAGGAGCAATTCGGGGAGCGGCTGGGTAGCGAGCGGGTGCGGTTGTGGACATCTCAGGGCGAGGTGGAGCGGGAGAAGCTGGATCCGGCCCTCTGCTACATCCAGATCACCTCCGTCGACGCCTACTTCACCCCCGAGGAGGCCCAGAGTCGCGTCACATACTTTGAGCGCTACAACAACCTCCGTACGACCACGCCCCACCACGCCCTCTCTCTCTCTCTCTCTCTTTTCCCTCACTTTCGTGCACACGCGCGTGCGAGTGCGTGTGTCGCGTGTGTCGTGTAGAGCGATTCATATTCGAGACGCCGTTTACGGTGGGCGGCGGTGGCCAAGCGGGCCATGTGCGGGACCAGTGGAAGCGCAAGACCATCCTCACCGCGGAGAACCACTTCCCCTACGTCAAGAAGCGCATTCCCGTGCGCCACAAGCAGGAGGTGCGCTGCCCCTACCCCTCTGGCCCCCTTCCCAACGCCCCCGCCCCCCATTTTCCCTCGTTCCAGCACAGAGGTATGTTCCCTCCCAAACTCACGTGTGTGTCGTGTGTCGTGTGTCGTGTGTCGTGTGTGTGTGTGTCTTGTGTGTGTGGCGGCCATGAACGTGTGCATCTCGGGATGGATGAGCAGACATGCTTGAGTCCGATCGCCAACGCCGTGGAGACGATCGAGGGGCGGGCGGCCGCCATCACTGCGGAGCTGCAGGCCGAGCCGAGCCCCAACCCCAACTCCCTCCAGGGGCTCCTGCAAGGCGCCCTCCTCCTACGTACCTCCCCCCCAATCTCCTTTTGCTCCTTCTCCCCCTTTCACCACTGGTGGCTTTATGGGTGATGATGTGGTGGGGGTGGTTCACTTCGACCGATGCCAATTACGACCGAATAATTTATCTTGACCCGCCTCCCTCCTCCCTGGTGGCTGCCGTGGCTGATGGCTGGTGGCTGGTGGTGTGGTTGCCTCCTCGGCATGACGGCAGAGGTGCACGCTGGTCCGCGCGAGATCTGCAAGACGTTCCTGGTGGACGACGACGAGGGGGCGTGCGCCTACGCCGATGCCGACAAGCTGAAGCTGCGCGTGGCCTTCAAGGCCCTCGTCGAGGCCTGTGGCCGGGCACTCCAGACCAACAGCGAGGTGCGTGCCCCCCCCCTCTCCCGATCCTCTCGACACGGTTTGGTAGGAAGGAGTGATATGTGCTGACGACCAACGACGATGATGGCCACACGCAGTTGATCGACGCCGAGGGGCTGGCGCTCCACGAGGAGATGCAGCGCGGGTTCCTCGAGCTCACCCACATTTTGGCGCCCGTCCTCCACCCCGCGCCCACGGGGGCCTCCTCCTCCACTTCGTGAGCCCCCAAGGCCTTCTACCCCCCCCCCCAATTCGGCAAGCCAACAACCACTGTTCACTGAAACCCAAGGAACGTTCCCCCAGGGAGCGGTGGGAGGAATCGATGGTGGCCGGTCGTCATTGTTGTCCGATCGGGCGACAATGCGTGGGTTGCAGGGGGGGAGGAGGTAGCACACAGCCAGTGATGTACGAGCCAAGGTAGAGCGCTGGTGGCTGGTGGTGGTGGCTGGTGGCTGGTGCGTCGGTTATTGGGGTGGGAGGGCGGTCTGGAGGGTGATGGCGTGCACGTCGCGAATCTCGTCCTTGAGGAGCGTCTTGACCCACTTGTGCTGCGCCACCAGCGACTTGCCGGCGAAGGCCTGCGCCTCCACGAACAGCTCGATCGTGCCGCCCGCGCAGCCCCCTGACGTCCCCCACACGGGCCACCAGCCACCACCACCCGACGGGTGAGGCCACGCACGCACGCACGCACGCACGCACGCAGAGACTAGAGGTGGGACTGGCGGCCTACCGGAGTGGTCGATCACGCGCAGCTGCGAGGGCTGCAGCTCTTTCGTGAGAAGGTCCCGGATACGCTCCTCCCGCGACCCCGTACCGCTGCTGCTGCTGCTGCTGCTGCTGCTGCTATCGCACCCCCCGCCCCGCCCCGCCATCCGCGGTTCCTCAATGTCCAAGGGGCCACGTTGAACCAGCAGGTACACCCCCGGCGGCGCGGTGCTGCAGATTGAAAGCCAGAGCTGGGGAGGTACCGTACCTCAAGAAGCGCGCCGCAGAAAGCACCCGCGAGGCCGCCGGTGCCGCGACGAAGGCCTTGTTGGTCGTGAGGGCACCGGAGGGAGCAATCCGCAAGACACCTCGTCTCATCATCATCTTGATCACTCTCGTGCTTTTTCCGTCTCTTTTCTCTTTTGGCCTTTTCCTTCCTTCTCCAATTAATTCATTAATTTATCAATACTCCTTGACACACCCCGACACGAACACCACAGAACGCGGCTCCGGCCGAGACATAGGTGTTTGCCTTCGCCACCTTCACCATCACCAGTACCCCACAAAGGCCCACCACCACCACCAGGTCTCGTCTCCCGCCGTTCTTTTCGTTCCTTCTACGAGGAGGAGGAAGAAAGGAACCAAACAACTACAAACAGCCGACCCCCCCCCAAAGGTTCCTTTTCAGTTCCTTTTTCGACCCCCCCCAAATGGGGGGACGCACAATTGCCCTAACGCCCCCCCCCCCATTGCGCCGCCTCCTTCGTGCGTTGGGGTGGGTTGGGGTGGTACGCGTCACGAGTAGAGGTCTTCTACTTCTCCGCCACATCTGCAGGCAGGCATCGCAGGCAATGGACACGGGGGACGCCGCGCACGCCAACACCAGCAGCAGCACCAGCAGCAGCAGCAGCAGCAGCAGCCCGATGAGCACCAGCAGCATGCGGTCGAGTAGCAGCAGCGGCCCTGCGCCCGCCTCGCCTCAGGCGGCGGGCAGCAGGCAGTACCCCGCGATGGCCCTCTCGCGCCACCACCACCACCACCACCAGCAGCAGCAGCAGCAGGTGGGCGACACGGGAGGCATCGGACAGCACCAGCACCAGCAGCAGGTGGCAGGAGCAGGAGGAGGCACGGGCGGGGCGGGCGAGGGCGGGGCCGGGTGGGTGAGCATGGACGAGACGCGGGAGCTGTACCAGCAGCTCGTGGCCAACCTGGCCCACCAGTTCGACTACCTGGAGCACGAGCGGCTCGCCCTCCTCCGCGAACAGCACGTACGCTTCACTGCAACTCACCACCTCGTTACTATCCACGTCACTATCCACCACCACCACCACCACCACCACCACCACCACCACCACCACCACCACCTCTCGGTCCACCCACTTTCGGCTGCACGCGCACATGCATGGCCGATGGCTGGTGGCTGATGATGATGGCGATGGTTGCTATGGGGTGGGGTGGGTGGGTGGGCGGTGAGCAGCTGCTGGAGCAAAAGAGGCACGCCTTCGAGGAGGTCAAGAAGCAGATGAGCAGTGTGCTGCAGCTCCAGGAGAACCGCGTCAAGCTCAACGTGGGCGGCGTCAAGTTCGTGACCTCCCTCGACACCCTCCTCATGCACCCCGATTCCATGCTGGGCTCCATGTTCAGCGGCAAGTACCGCCTCGAAAAGGTATTCACTCCCCCCCGCCATCCGCCACCATCGCCGCCCCATTGCCAAAGTGGTCCTCACCGTCGCCGTCACCACCATCGCCACCATCGCCACCGCCGCCGCCACCG